ACCGATTATACAATGCACCAAGATTGGTGTAGAGTGATAGCAGACTTGAAGAATGACAAGATTCTTTACTTAAAGGAGAAGAATGAGCTGGACAGCAGTTTGTTGAATACTCTCTATGTTGTATCGGATATAACTGGAAGCAAAGAAGAAGTAGTTAAAGAAATTAAGCATATAGAAGAACTTCTTTCTAATAAGAAGGTTGATGATGAGCTTGATATAACCCGAAGCTTGACTACAATATTCAAGGAGCTATCGAATAACAAGAATCTTGAAGTAGAGTGTGACGAATTCACAGTAGGTACACGAGAAGATAAAAAGATGGACTTATTTTGTGGGTTTAAGCTAGTATATACTTTTAATGAGAAAAAAAATGGAATATTAGCAAAGATAACTCCTGGTCATTGTACAATAAGATTATTAAAAAACTTATTGTCTAGTGAAGAGGAAAATATTATTAAAAAAAAGCTGACTGAAATACAAAATACTTATAGTAATATAGAGAGTTACACTGCATACACAATTAGACAGTACATAAACATAGAACTTGCTAAGATGGAAAAGGAGTATGCATTGGGCCGAATTCAAGAAAGTATTAGAAATAATCATGATAATATAAATGATATTTTACTTCACGGGATGATTCTATCTGTTGATCAAAAAGTAAACATTGTTAAATACTTCTTGGCCGTGCACGTAAATAATACTCTACCAAAAAACAATTCACTAGTTCGGTTTACCAATAATCTCATAGGAAGCACTCCATTGGATGATTCAGCAACAAGAAGAAGGATGCTGTTTTATTGCTTGCTTAATAAAGACAGCAATGACTACTATCCAAGAATTGGGAGCTGCTGGGAAGAGGTTACTACAATCACTCCATATAAATTTGATGCAATAATTAGTGACATCTTACATAATTCAGACTATTCCATAGACGTTAAATTAGAGTGCATTAAAAAGTTGATGATGGTCGTGGTAAATAGTGATGAGAAGTATGTTATTATTTCAAGTTTGTTCTTAATTAGAGGTATAGTGGATTTTTCTATAAAGACTAATGAACTAACTGAAACACTTTTAGAGTTCATAAAAATAATAGATGAAACAGTTATTCAGCCAGATGGGTCAAATATGTTTGTTATTTGCTTAAGATGGATTGTCAGTATAGGATCAGATGATTGTTACAGTTTAGATGATAGGAAAGAGATTATAAAGACGCTAATGGATCAAATAGATGTTAATTATAATTTTAATCTAGATAACACATGGGATAGTTGGATTCGTGACAATTATTTCGATATATTGGAAAATTTAGAAACGAGTAAGGATCTATTTTGTGATAAAGAAATCCCAGAAATTGTTGAAAAATACGACTATCTTATAGAAAAAATAAAAAGCGCACTTAACTCAGCAAACTCGGAAGTTTCCAGTGAGCCTTGAATCCTTCCACACGTAGAAATGCATAAGTGAATATTGTTTGTATATAAGGTGTAAGAATATACTGCTTTTCTTTATATACGCAGATTTATTGGCAGAGCATAGAAATAAATAAAATAAAAAAATAAAATAAAAATTCAATATTAACTACGGTATATTATTATAATACAGCAGCATTTCTCTAAATTCTAACGGGTTGAAAGCATCATATATCCTAATTTTAATTTGACATGTCTTTAATAATCGGTCTAAGCTGTTTTTTCCTGGAAGGCATAGACATGTGAAAACTTGTTATTTAATACAGGCTGTCCTTATATAGCCGACTTTCCATCATAAAGGCTGGCACTTATTATTTTGGCACTTTAGACATCATCCATTGCTTGGCATTCTGGATCTCGTTATCCACACCCAACAATATATGAACAAAATGCATTCTGAGAGAACTGGACAGAAGAAAGCTGTGTGGAGCAGTACCAAGCACTTTTGTTTTAATAAACCATGTAAGGCATATGGCAAATAAACAGAGAATAATCTGAGAATAACAGCACAGTGGCGGGAGAGCAGATACAGACAGCGCATGCACACTGGGTGTCATTCCATCCGAAATAAGCACACAGTGGGAAGGTACACCACTCTACACGCCGAACTAGGCACTTTGTGGCCTTCTTTTGAAATATCTGAAATATTCGAAATTCTTTTTCTTTTATACTGTATATACTATAAATAGAAGAGAAGAGAGAGCAAATAATTCAGAAAACACAAAGTAGAGCAGAAGAGAGTGCACTCCGAAATAACAAGGCAGGGCACACTCTAAGGCACTCTGGCACAGTAAAGAGGCGGGGGATGAGATAGCGGGCGAGAAAAACAAAGAAAGAAGAAGGGGCAGAATGACCTGAAATAGAGTGGGTCAGAGAGGTACACCAGAGAGTGTATGACAGGAGAAGTACTGTGCTACTGTGCTACTGTGCACTAGCTAGGTTATACAGTGCATACACTCTGAAATAGAGGGGTAATTGGCAGTAGTTGGCAGGTGCACAGACAGGGCGCATTGTGCATTCTGGTTATATCGAGTATATCAAGAAGAACCGATTTTTTAGTTTAAAACAGCTTATTAATCTAAGGTTTGGAAGAAGTCAAATGGGCGGTTGTTAAATACCACTAACTCCCTTCCTTATACTTCCTAAGCCGTTCCTAATATTCTAGGGTGGCTGTAACAAGCTAATGTCTTTGACTGCTAGGGATTGGATATATTTATATAAGAGCAAATAAATAAACTTAAAATAAATTGTATAGTAATATTTTTATTAGTGTACGTGTTACATATTGAATTATTATACCTTCTATATAAACAGAATAATAAAAAGAGAAAGAGAAGAGAGAGAGAAGGGAGGAATGGGAAGAGAAAGAAAAGAGAAGGAGACTAAACAGAAAGAGAACAAATGAGGAGATAGAAGGCAAAGTGTGTATTATAGGGCATAACAGTATATTTAATCCAAAGAGCCAATGTGTTATTGTAAATACTGCTATACTATGAAACATACCACTCAAATAGTGTACCAATCAAATAATGACCAATTAATTAGGCCAAGTTGATTTGATCAATCAATATAACGAAGAACAGTATTTGATTGGTCCGTTAAGAGGTAAGCAACAACCAATTAGTTGAAAGACCCCTCTAAATTAAAATATAAATATCAAAATAAAAGATCGTTAATTAGATGAAATTAAAAAAAACGAATCGGGTAATAAAAAATATTTTATTTATACATAGCATGAAAAACAGTATGATCATAAAACTGTTAATAATGATGTACACAGTGTGTGCAAGACTTGAACTGAGTGATATAAAGACAATAGGAGATTCAGTAGTTATTGAAGAAGATAGCTTGTTAATACATCCAGACGGACCATTAAATCCGCTCAGAGGATATATCATGCACAAGAGCGGATGTATGTACAACAAACGATTATATGCGCCAGAAATAGACACAATGTATAAATTGGAACAAAAAGATGAAAATTACGAAACAATTTATACTTATACAAGAGAGCCAGTAAATGACCTGGCATATGATGATATTTGTGTGGACACAAAAAAGAATGAATATCTCACACAGTCCCATGCACTGCTAGTCAAAATGTTTCCTTCGACCGACGGGTCATTTTCTATTGTATCAGGAAGACAGGATTCAATTTATTCATTTCTTATAAAAGATAGAGTAAAGCCAGAGTGCATGCACATTATGGCAGTCCTTTTCCTTCTGTCTGAGCAGGTGGATGTTCCTTTTACTATAGAAACAAAGAAAAAAGAGAAAAAACTTGTTCTAAAAAGTGCAGATGGAACAACTGCATACATTAACCAGCCAAGAACAAACGAAAATTTACTGAGTCTTATTGAATTCCTTAAAAAGTATATAAACAATAACAGTGCAAATCCAAGTGCAATGGAAGGACTGCCCACTGAGCCAACTACGTATGAGCAGTTCATGACAGGAGAATTTTTGAACACGTCCCAGTTCCTTATTCAGTCGTACATATACGAGTTTATTGACACAAAAGAAAAGTATATTGAGTTTGTAAATGCTGTATATACTCTCTTGAATGACCAGATAAAAAATAAAAAGTCATACAAAAGAGTACTTAACAAGTGCTTTATACAAGAAAGTGCACGGCAAAGTAAAATCGACCACACTAAGATTATTTGCGATCTTAAGGATACAATAGACAAGTATAAAATATTTCCATTCATGGATTCATCACAGCTTCCTTCCTATACTCGGGTTAAAGCATATGATCGGGAAAAGGGCGAGTTCATAAACAATGAAAGCAGAAAGTACTCCAATTGTGTAGAAACGACTCTGATGGGTCTTTTCTTATGCTTAGTATATGATCCAAATAAAAAGAAGTACAATACAGACCATCTGCCCGACAATAAAGAAACTAAGCCACTGAAAGACTTCTTTAAAAAGTACACTGAGCCAAGAGAAGCCACTGACTATGAAATGCACGAAGATTGGTGTAGAGTGATAGCAGACTTGAAGAATGACAAGATTCTTTACTTAAAGGAGAAGACGAATGAGCTGGACAGCAGTTTGTTGAATATTCTCTATGTTTTATCGAATGTAACTGGAAGCAAAGAAGAAGTGGTTAAAGAAATTGAGCACATAGAAGAACTTCTTTCTAATAAGAAGGTTGATGATAAGCTTGATATAGAAGAAAGCTTGACTACAATATTCAAGGAGCTATCAAATAACAAGAACCTTGAAGTAGAGTGTGACAAATTTATAGTAGGTACACGAGAAGATAAAAAGATGGACTTATTTGGTAAGTTTAAGCTAGTATATACTTTCAATAAGAAAAAAAATGGAATATTAGCAAAGATAACTCCTGGTCATTGTACAATAAGATTATTGGAAGACCTATTGTCTAGTGAAGACAAAAATATTATTAAAGAAAAGCTGACTGAAATACAGAATACTTATAGTAGTATAGAGAGTTACACAGCATGCACAATTAGACAGTGCATAAACATAGAACTTGCTAAGATGGAGCAAAAGTCTGTATTTATCCGGATTAAAGAAAGTATTAGAAGTAACCATGTTAATATAAATGATATTTTCCTTCACGGGATGATTCTATCTGTTAAACAAAAAGTAAACATTGTTAAATACTTCTTGGCCGTGCACGTAAATAATACTCTACCAAAAAATAATTCACTAGTTCGGTTTACCAATAATCTCATAGGAAGCACTCCATTGGATGATTCAGCAACAAGAAGAAGGATGCTGTTTTATTGCTTGCTTAATAAAGACAGCAATGACTACTATCCAAGAATTGAGAGCTGCTGGGAAGAGGTTACTACAATCACTCCATATAATTTTGATGCAATAATTAGTGACATCTTACGTAATTCAGACTATTCCATAGATGTTAAATTAGAGTGCATTAAAAAGTTGATGATGGTCGTGGTAAATAGTGATGAGAAGTATGATATTATTTCAAGTTTGTTCTTAATTAGAGGTATAGTGAATTGTTCTATAAATAGTAATGAGCCAACTGAAATGTTTTTAGAGTTTATAAAAATAATAGATGAAACAGTTATTCAGCCAGATGGATCAAATATGTTTGTTATTTACTTAAGATGGATTGCCATTATAGGATCAAATGATTGTTACAGTTTAGATGATAGGAAAGAGATTACAAAGACTCTAATGGATCAAATAGACGTTAATTATAGCTTTAATAGAAACAACAAATGGGATTGTATGTTTCTTAACCATTCCTATATATTGAAATATTTAAAAAAGAATAAGGATCTACTGTGCAATAAAGAAATCCCTGAAAGTGTTGAGAAGTACAACTGTATTATGAACAAAATAAACAGCGCACTTAACTCAGCAAACGAGGAATCTTCCAGTGAGTCTTGAATCCTTCCACACGTAGAAATGCATAAGTGAACATTGGATTGTTTGTATATAAGGTGTAAGAATATACTGCTTTTCTTTATATACGCAGATTTATTGGCAGAGCATAGAAATAAATAAAAAAATAAAATAAAATAAAAATTCAATATTAACTACAGTATATTATTATAACACAGCAGTATTTCTCTAAATTCTAACGGGTTGAAAGCATCATATATCCTAAATTCAATTTGACATGTCTTTAATAACCCGAATAACCCGAATTTTCCTGGAAGGCATAGACATGTGAAAACTTGTTATTTAATACAGGCTGTCCTTATATAGCCGACTTTCCATCATAAAGGCTGGCACTTATTATTTTGGCACTTTAAACATCATCCATTGCTTGGCATTCTGGATCTCGTTATCCACACCCAACAATATATGGGCAGAAAGCATTCTGAGAGAACTGGACAGAAGAAAGCTGTGTGGAGTAGTACCAAGCACTTTTGTTTTAATAAACCATGTAAGGCATATGGCAAATAAACAGAGAATAATCTGAGAATAACAGCACAGTGGCGGGAGAGCAGATACAGACAGCGCATGCATACTGGGTGTCATTCCATCCAAAATAAGCACACAGTAGGAAGACACACCACTCTACACGCCGAACTAGGCACTTTGTGGCCTTCTTTTGAAATATCTGAAATATTCGAAATTCTTTTTCTTTTATACTGTATATACTATAAATAGAAGAGAAGAGAGAGCAAATAATTCAGAAAACACAAAGTAGAGCAGAAGAGAGTGCACTCCGAAATAACAAGGCAGGGCACACTCTAAGGCACTCTGGCACAGTAAAGAGGCGGGGGATGAGATAGCGGGCGAGAAAAACAAAGAAAGAAGAAGGGGCAGAATGACCTGAAATAGAGTGGGTCAGAGAGGTACACCAGAGAGTGTATGACAGGAGAAGTACTGTGCTACTGTGCTACTGTGCACTAGCTAGGTTATACAGTGCATACACTCTGAAATAGAGGGGTAATTGGCAGTAGTTGGCAGGTGCACAGACAGGGCGCATTGTGCATTCAATCACTGGGTGTATAAGATGTATAGATAGTACTATGAATTTCAGGGTGTTAGCACTCTTATCTGAAACAATTCGGGTTAAATGTACTGCATACCGAGTATATGCACGCATAAAGGGGCACTATATCTACACATGCACTGCCACAACCCGAATTATTATATGGCTGCATTATTATATGGCTGTGTACTTTATATATACTATGGCAGAGAAGGGTATTAATAAATAGAATAAGTAAAGACGTAGACAGACAGAATACTAGGCCGTGGAGTGAAGTGGCTAGAGTGAGTGCACCCAGAGGGGCCATATGAGAAGAGGCGGGCAGTACGAGAGGGGACACTTGAGGTGGGAGAATAGAGTGGTAGCACACTCATTCTTCTCTATAACAGTGTACAGTGGTAATAAAAGAAAAAGCGTGAGAAAAAGAAAGAGGAGTGTAATACTAGGAAGTGTGAAGTAAAAAGAGAAAGTGCATGTATTAACGTATTAAGTGGCAGTATATACACTAGATACAGCCATAAATCACTAGAGTGCACATAGGCGGCTGTTATACACCCAGTCAGAGCAGGCGCGCACTCAAAAGCCGCACTGGATGGATTGTATTCTGTATGAGTGCATCAGAGTGATTTATTGCTGTATATTAGATCATGTACAGTGGTGTGTTATCTTCTATTTTATTCGGGTTATTACTGCTTTATTACTGCTTTATTTTAGTTTAATGAAGAAGGGCGTAAGAGTCTTACTGTTACTGTTCACACTTGCATGTGCAGTGGGAGTGGGCATGGCAGTATGCACAGCAAGGCACAGACTAGAAACAGAAGGCACAGAGAGCAGAGAGGATACTCAGAGAGTACTTCAAAATAGCCTGAAATGTGCAGAGTGTAAGAGAGACAGCATAATAGGAGGCACAGAGAACAGAGGGCCACCAGGCAGTGTGTGAATGCAAGGCAGCACAGACACAGAGAGTGTGCTGAGTGGGAGAGAACAGCAGGGGCAGTGCGAGAGACAGGGCAGAGCAGTTCAGGCACTGAGCGTATACCATCTGAAACCGCCGTGGAAATAAGAGTGGTGAGAGTAGAGAGTGCACCACACACGAGTTTAATAAATAAAAAGTATTTATTGTGGAAAGAGAGAAGAGCACCAGGCAAAGAAGGCAGGATAGCACAGAGCATGCCAGATACAGTAGTACACAGTGTGGAGAGAGAGCGGGCGTACTAGACACAGGGGACAAGACATCCCACGCAGTTCACAAAGGAGGCACTGAGAGAGCAGTAGGTGCGAGAGTGGCAGAGAGTGCACTGTGCACCTGCGCAGACAGTTCATTGTGTGGGGGAGAAGAGACAGTACCAGAAGAAACACAGGCATCAGACAGCAAGGCAGGGAGTGGAGGGGGCTCACAGGGCACAGCAGGTGCATTGTTGTCTGGGACAGAGTATATGCAGTGCAGTGCGTGCGGTGCAGAGAAAGAAGTGCCAGTAGAAGAGGCATCCAGCACAGGGTGTTTGTCTACACACTGCATCACTCCAAGAAACTCCAAGGAGATAAATCCGGCGGTTAGAGGGGCAGAAGGCGTACTAGGCACTGTTCATATGACGGGCATAATACATCCACTGCAACCCGAGTATCAAGAGGCAGCAGATGACTCTGTGTGCAGTCCACAAGAAAGGGGGTGGCAGAAGTACTAGAGTGCACTGCCCGAAAGCATCCAGACGCGCTGGGTGTGCACCCGAAGAGGCACAGTGATTTACAGGTGAATGAATCAATTATTATGCACTGGGGCACATCTGTGTTTGAGTTACACACCAATTCCATACACAGGCAGCAGAGACAAGAACACTGCGGAAGGCACTGCATGCATGCAGAGAGGGAGTGCGCATGCAGTGGGGTATAAGACTTTGTATCTATTGGCACACTCTTTCGTATCCAGAGGGGATGACATACAGCCCATTTATTATCCATGCGCTGTTCACTTATTATGTTCCAATTCACCTGTCTCTTGTTTATTCGGCAGTATCCTGGTATGACTTCACGCTCCATAAAGATGCATTCAGTGAGTTTCGGATGTTCAGAGAAGCACACGGTCTAGCAGTGACCAGGCCACTCATCTGCACGAGCACACTCGATGCACTCAGAGGCTTCGGATGGTTGAAAGAGCTTCACATTCTAGAGAGGACAGTTTTAGTTACAGACAGCACAGACAGTACTATCACCACTGCATTACTACCAAAGGCACTAGAAACACTGAAACTAGCGAGGGATGGCAGAGAGTGTGCAGAGTGGGCACTACATGCACGCAGAGAGAACAAACACGGCTATGCACAAAAAGACCCGAACACACTCATTACTCTGACACATCACTGATATACATTAATCAATCAAATGATCACACTGTGTATATAAAGCAGAAAGAAGAATAAAAAATAAAAATGCAGAGCACAGATATAACCCGAAGTATACAAATAAAGAAGTATGCTCTAGGAGCACTAATAGTCACATTAACCATTCTTACCACTACATCCATGTTTATGTACGCACTCAAACCAAAAGAAGAGCAACAAAGCCAGGCCACGCAAGCACTAGATCCATGTAAAAAAGAGGCAGAGCACGTCTCAAAAGAGGCAGTGGCAGAGAACCCGAATACAGGCCAGACAGACCCCAGGGTGCTTATACAGCTACTGCAAGAGCGCATGGCAAGCGACGAGGAGAAAACTGTGCAGCTAGAGGAAGAGATTGAAGCACTAAAAGAGACGATAAATAAGCAAGCGAATGTCAGTGCGCTGTTCATGGCCAACATACGAGAGACAGACACGGCCATAGAAAACATAAATACGAATGTAAGCGAGTCACAAAAGATACTGCGTTCCCTTGTTCTAGACCATGAAAAATCCATTATTAAGCTAAACAATTTTATTTTCGGGACCGCTGGTGTGCCTGCTGTTCGAAAAAAGCCTGAAGAGAAAGTGTCGGTGTTCAATGGCAGCCAGGAGGAGGAAGAGCAGCCAACGAACCTCGTCTTCTAATATATACAGACGGCAAATAAAAAGAAACAAGAAGAATGCAGGTATACAGAGAGTACACACAAGAGCAGCGCAGAACAAGCGAGAAGAAGCACTTATTTACAAGAGAAGTAAGCACGGCAGACAGCACGCGCATTCCACGGCATTTACTATCCAGCAGGGGAGCAATCTAAAAAGAGTGCCAGAGCAATCAGAGCAAGCGCACAGAGTGTACTACTGCAGCACTGCATGCAGCCAGCACAGACAGGAGTAATACTCACCACATGCCACCTGGTATGTGTCATCATGTCATGTGTTATGTGTTAATTTGTGTGTGGTGTGTGGTGTGAGATATCTACTGCTGTATTAAGAATAAAACAGCACGTATAGTAATACTTTTATAATTAAAATAAATTGTACATGGAAGATAATAATAGTATACAAATTGTATTTATTTCTCTATTATAATACTAAAATAAATTAGAAACAGAATATAGCTAGAGGAAACAGAGTAGAACTAGAGGAGTAGAACTAGACACACACAGGCCGATACAGACAGTGCATGGGGTGTGGGAGGGGGCAGAAGGCAGCAGACAGGCACAGAGTGATAGAGAAGGCAGAGAGAAGAGATTAAGCAGAAATAGGAGAGAGTGTGCTAAGAGAGGCAGAGTGGGGAACAATACACCACAGACACGTACACACACACAGAGCACAGTACTCAGCACAGACAGACGGGCACAGACACACACAGACACACACACTCTCCCGACCTTAAA